AGGGCAGCAAGGTGGTCCCCACACGGCCCCGTCCCGCCCCCCAGAGCTGTTCGGGTCGGTGGAGCCGCTCCTGCCCACCCTGCGTGAGGACGGGGTGGCCGTGTGGGTGTTGGGCCGGGGGCCGTACCCGCCAGGGGTCGTGGCCCTGCAGGAGCTGCTGGACGCGGCCTCGGACCAGCTGGAGCCCGAGGACGTTTGGGAGCCCCAGGACATGAATGAGACCTGCCTGTACATCTTCACCTCGGGCACCACTGGTAGGGCCGGGCCGGGGGGCATGGGGGGGGCTGGGGAAACAGGGGGGTCTCGACGCCCTGTCCCCATCCCAGGGCTCCCCAAAGCCGCCCGCGTGTCGCACCTCAAGTCCATCATGTGCCTGGGCTTCTACGAGCTGGTGGGAGCCTCCAGCGGGGACGTTGTGTACCTGGCACTGCCCCTCTACCACATGGCCGGGGCCCTCCTGGGCATCGTCGGCTGCCTCGGCATCGGTGAGTGGGGCCAGGACCCCGGGGGGTTCTGGGTGGTGTTTGGGGGGTGTTGTTGCCTAAAGTCGAAGAAATAATTCTCTGGACAATGTAAAACCCCCCAGCTCTTTAAGAAGATGTTTTAGGTGCACAAAGATGGCACGTGGACACACACGGGTTTTACAAACTTAGAGGATCATCTCATTGTGATATCCAGCCATTGCTTCATGGGGACACACCCAGCCCGAAAACTGTCCGTCCCCCAGGACCTCCCACAGGGTCCAACCCAGAATTGGGGTGGTGGTCCCAAAAAAACAGTACTTCATCCCACCTTCATCTTTATCATCAACTCTGTCTGTCCTGGACCATTGTCAAGGCTTCTTGGGTAGTTTTGACTGTCATATCGAGCGATATGCCTGCTGTGTCTTACTCTAAGAGTGTTGTGTCTTTACCTTGCCACAATCTTTGTCCCTTGGAATTCTGGACAAGAAACATTGAACAGTTCAGGAATCCAACACCAAAGCACTTGGCTAAAGTGCCACTGAAAGTGCTAAAAGAGTTCTAGTAAAATCTCTGTAACCCAGATTTGAAGGCATCAGGCTGATCCCTCTGATCCCCCCTCCCGGGTTTCCCCAGGAGCCACGTGTGTGCTGAGGGAGAAGTTCTCAGCCAGCCAGTTTTGGGATGACTGTCGTGCCGAGGGCGTCACCGTGTTCCAGTACATTGGGGAGCTGTGCCGGTACCTTGTCAACCAGCCCCAGGTCCGGGGGGGGATCTGGGATAAGGGGGGGCGCTGGGAGGGCTCCCCCGGAGCCAGGGGGTCCGCCCAGAGCTGGAGGATCCCCCAGAGATGCCGGTGGTCCCACAGCGCCCTGGTGAGCGGCAGCACGGGCTCCGGTTGGCCGTGGGCTCTGGGCTCAGACCCGACGTGTGGAAGAGTTTCCAGCAGCGCTTCGGGCCCATCCGGATCGTGGAGACCTATGGGATGAGCGAGGGAAACGTCACCCTCTTCAACTACACCGGGACCCCCGGGGCCGTGGGCAGGGGCAGTTTCATCTACAAGGTGAGGGGGGTGGGCTGGGCTGGCAGGGAGTCACTGTGTCCATCCTGGGGGTCCCATGTCTGGCCTGGAGGTCCCTGTGTCCATCCTTGGGGGGTCTCATGTCCATCCTGGGGGTCCCTACATGTGTCCTGGGGGATCCCTGTGTCCATCTTGGGGGTCCCCGTGTCCATCCTGGGGGGTCCCCATGTCCATCTTGGGGGTCCCACGTCCAGCCTGTCCATCCCTGGGGGTCTCATGTCCATCCTGGGGGGCCCTATGTGTGTGTCCCTGGGTGTTCCCCACATGTCTCCTGGGAGGGGGGGGTCCCATGTGTGTCCTGCTGTCCCTGGGTACCCCATATCTGTCCTGGGGGGGTCTCCACATGTGTCCTGGGGGTGGGGGGCTTTATGTCCATCCTGGGGGACCCCACGCCCATCCTGCCATCCACCCTGCCTGTGTCCATGCCCCCTACACCCCCCATACCCCTCCCCGGGGGTCTGACGCCCCCCCCCTCCCCAGCTCTTCTCGCCCTTTGAGATCGTTCGGTTCGACGTGGCCGCGGGAGCCCCGGAGCGGGACCGGGCCGGGCGCTGCATCCGCGCAGGGCCGGGTGAGAGGAGGGGCCGGGGGGGGGCTGGGAGGGGTCCCGAGGGTCCCTCCCATCACCCGCCCCCTCCTCTCAGGCGAGACGGGGCTGCTGATCGCGCCGGTGACCCCCCGGACCCCGTTCCTGGGCTACGCGGGCCCCCCCGAGCTGTCGGAGCAGAAGCTGCTCCGGGGGGTCTTTGCCGAGGGCGACGCGTTTTTCAACACCGGGGACCTGGTGGAGCAGGACCGGGACCAGTTCGTGCGGTTCCGGGACCGCACCGGAGACACCTTCAGGTGCCATCGCCCCCCCAGGGAGGGGGGACGCCCCCCAGCACTCCCCGGCACCCCCCACCCCAGGGGGACAGTGCAGGACCCCCAGACCCACAGCTGTGCGGGGGCAGGGGGGCTCGGCCCTGTTAAATGTGATGGGGGGCTCAGCCCCGTTAGATGTGATGGGGGGCTCAGTGCCATTAAATGTTGGGGGGGGCTCAGCCCCACATTCTGGGGGTGCTCAGCCCAATTAAATGTTGGGGGGGTGTCTTATCCCTATTAAACTTTAGGGGGGGGGGCTCAGCCACACATTTTGAGGGCTCAGCCCCAGTAAGTGTTTGAGGTGGGTCTCAGTCCCATTATATATTTGGAGGGGGACTCAACTCCTTTAAACATTACGGAGGGGGTCCAGCTCTGTGAAATATTATGGAGGGGCTCAGCCTCATTAAACTTTATGGGGAGGGTCTCAGACCCTTTCAACATTTCAGGGGGTCTCAGCCTGATTAAATGGCTCAACCTCACTAAATATTATGGGGGGGCTCAGCCCCCCATTTTGGGGGGGCTCAGCCCCCCATTTTGAGGGGTCACAGCCCCACATTTTGAGGGGGGTTTCAACCCCATTAAACCTTTCGGAGGGGGTCTTGGCCCCACATTTTGGGAGGGTCTCAGCCCCATTAAAGGTTTTGGGGGGTGTCATCCCCCCCATCCCGTTGTTCCTAGGTGGAAGGGGGAGAATGTGGCCACCACGGAGGTGGCCGAGGCCCTGCTGGCCCACGAGTCCCTGCAGGAAGCCACCGTTTATGGGGTCACCATCCCAGGTACCACAGCCTCCGACCCCACACGGGCTCCTTGCCCCCCGCCACGGGCCCTTGGAGCCCCCCATGGTGCCCCTTTGCCCCCAGGGCACGAGGGCCGTGCCGGGATGGCGGCGCTGGTGCTGCAGCCGGGACATTCCATGGATGGGCCAGGGCTGTTCCGGCACTTGGAGCAGCTGCTCCCGCCCTATGCGTGGCCCCGCTTCCTCAGGGTGCAGGTATCAGGGTCTGGGGTCCAGGGTTTGGGGTCTGGGGTTTGGGGTCCTGATTCCTCCAGCTGCAGGTAATGGGGATCCAGGGTTTGGGATTTTGGGTCCCGGGGATTGGGGTCCCAGGATTTGGTGTCTGCGGTACAGGGTTTGGGGCCTGGGGTTTGGGGAAGGTCAGGTCCTTCCTGGGGGTCCCTGTGTCCTTCCTTGGAGTCCCCAGGTGCATCCTGAGGATCCTGTGTCCATCCTGGGGGTCCCTGCGTGTGTCCCGAGGGTCCTGGTGGGGGGTCCCTGACACTGCCAGTGCCCCCCAGGAGCGCCTGGAGATGACGGAGACGTTCAAGCAGCAGAAGGTCCGTCTGGCTCAGGAAGGGGCTGATCCTGGGATCGTTCCCGACCCGCTCTTCCTGCTGGACGAGGCCTCACAGTCCTACATCCCGCTGGATCCCGAGCTCTGGGAACGGCTCCAGACCGGGCACCTCCGCATTTAACCCCCCACGGGAGACCCCAAAGCTCCCAGGGGGCCCCAGAGCTGGGCCCGGGGCTGTCCCGGGGGCTGCGGGGGCTCCGTGTCTGTCCTGGGGGTCCCCAAATCTGTCCTGCCACCACCATGAACCCCACACCCATCCTGGGGGTCCCCTCATCTGTCCTGGGGAGTCCCCATGTCCATCCTGGGGCTTCCCACCTGTGTCCTGGTGGGGAGTCCCCATGCTCGTCCCAGGGGTCTCCACATCCAACCTGGGGGTCCCCAAATCCATCCTGCCACCCCCGTGATCCCCACACCCATCCCAGGGGTCTCCACATCTGTCCTGGGGTCTCCCTTGTCCATCCTCAAATCTGTCCTGGGGGGGGTCCCCACGTGTGTCTTGGGGGTCCCCGTGTCCATCCCGGGGGTCCCCACATCCATCCTGCTCCATCCAGGTCTCTCCCCCCCC